GGAGGGGGCTGCCTAGCTTTCACTGAAATGCCCACCGCCTCCCGGCGTTAAGTGCGAACATTGGCATTTTCATCCCCGCCTTGAAAATCGAAAGCAGGCGTGCCCACCTTTGCGGAGTGCTTCCCTCTGAAGGCATTTGTTCTACCATCCCTGGTGGGGTTGAGCCACAAATCTGGAATCCAAGGGCTGAGGCTGCCCCCTCCCGCCCCCACGAAAGAAATTCCACCTTACAAGAGGGTTTTGATTGATTTCAGGCAGCAATACGCCAATGTCAACAAACAAGAAAACAGCTTGCAGTATAAAAATCCTACCCCCCCTACCCTACACCTTCGGGACAATAAGCACCCCCATGGCCACGGGGTGGGCCACCAGGACAGAGGGCTCCTCTCCTGGGCCTTTAGTCAGCCTCCCTGCCTCCCATCCCAACTTGGGGACCTGCTGGAGAAATCTAGGAATCCCCAGCTGATCTGAGATAGGAGGGAACAGAGCAGAGGTGGGTTCCTACCAGTTCGCACCTATTCGGTAGAACCGGTTCGTCAACCAGTGGACCCGGAAAGCAGGCCACACCTACAGAAGAGGTTCCAAAAAAGAGAGAGAGAAAGAGAAAGAAAGGAAGAAAGAAAAAAGAAAGAAAGAAAGAAAAAGAGTGAGAGATGAAAGAAAAAAAGAGAAAAGGGACAGAGAGACAAAAGGAAGGAAAGAGAGAGAGAGAGAAAGAGAGAGAAAGAAAGAAAACACATGGCCGGCAAGCCACTCCCACCAGGTCACATGACCAGCAAGCCACTCCCACAAAGGCGGCCACACCCACAGAGTAGGTTCCAAAAATTTTTGAAACCCACCACTGGATCAGAGGTTTCCCAGGATCTGCTTGGAGAAGGCTGAGGGGATTGCTTCTCTAGGGGGGTCTCCAAGGAGTCTTTCTAGACCCAGCTTTGTGCACAATCGGAGAACGGGCTCGTTGTGAAGGACTTCCCCCGTGTGAATTGTGCAAGAGGAAAAGGACGGCCCCTCCCTCTGAATTCATGAGAAATAATTGGGGTGCTCCCACCAGCCTCCCCCCCCACCACTGCAGCTCCTTTTGCTCCTCACTAACTGGCCCAGCAGACCATCCCCAACTCAGTGCCTGAGGGGGAGGGGAGGCTTGGGCTGCCACGTGGAAGGTTAAAACGGACCAAATCTTTAAGACCAGCGGCTCTCGGGAAGAAGCATGGAGGAGATTCAGCTTTTTGGCTCATTCTCACGAAAAAGAGGAACTCCCTTGGCCCGGAGGGCTGCATTAGGCCTTCTGGGAGAGGGAATGATGGGGAAAGAAAGAGAAGAGATTCCCGCTTGAGAAGACGAAGGGGGAAAACAGCTGAAATGGACAATGAAAAGGTCCTTTGGAAACCAAAATCTGAACAGATTTATTTTATTAGCTGGCCAGCCAGCACCGAGAATAAGATTTTCCACTTCTAATTCTCTCTCTCTCACTCACTCTCTTTCTCTCTCTCTCTCTCTCTCTCTCCTTTATTTTAAAGCCAAGTTTCTAGTCCTTATGGCTATGGAGATACAACTTGAAGACGAACGAGAAAGGCCTACCCCAAATTAGGATGGCCAGTTCTTTGGGATGGAGAGAGATTTTTTTCAGAAATTTCCCTCCAAGCTAGCAAAATAATAATAACAATAATAAATTACCTCCCAAATTAAATGCCAGGAATAAATTACACAAATAAAATGCCAGGTGCAGCATCTCTCTCTCTCTCTCTCTCTCTGTCTCTCTCTCTCTCACACACACAGACACACACACAGATATGTGTTGTGGCCCAGCAGGAGCCGTTGGAGCTGCCACCAGGCTCCGACAGCGAGGGGCCATATGAATCGGCTCTGGAGGATGTGGAGGACCCTGGACAGGGTTCCGACTCCGAGCAGGAGGCAGAGAGACTGGTTGACCACCAGGAGGCACCTGAGCCTTGGACCAGTGGGGAGGAGATAAGGGAGTGTGATCCCGACGTCAGCAGTGAGTTGTTCCTGGATGCCCGGAATCAAAAAGCTAATAGGCATCAGGAACAGTTGCGCAAGTACAGGAGGTGATTGCACTCAGCTGGTGGTCA